TCCGTGTTTGTAGGCTATATTATTTATATAAAAGACTATTGAAAAGGTCTAGTGCCTTAATTTCATCACCACTGGTGCAGGCGGCAAAAAATCGTTAACATATCCTCTGAAAATCTTTGGAAACAGACCTGAATTCGTGTCGCGAGCCACATTTTCAGTGTTCCATGAAACTCTCAGTAAGCATCGGGAAAAATGGGTTGCTCATGGGTTGCATAAAGAAAACACCATCGAATGAGAAATAATTCGTTTGTACCATGCAAAAAGTTATTTTCTTTACGAGAGTATATACCGTACGAGATTCGTGAGCTGTTTAAGCAAATTCTCTGCTAATTAACCGATTATTTCAATAGTAACCGGCAAAAGGAATATCAGTAAATAAGTCTTAAAGTTATAACTGTCCATAATGCTCCCTTCAGAGAGGGTTTAGTTTGTTTTAGTTCCTTGCAAACGCGTGGAAATTTTTGCTACATGATAGTTTACTTTCAGATAATATCTGAGTATTTATATGACTAATATAATCGTTTAAATAACAAAAAATCTGTAATTAGAGCCGTAACAGACAGAGCTCTGAAACTTTTTAGAAATGGATTTCTTAAATAAGAAATAAGACATTTAATTAGCCTGATGTAATATCAATAACTATCAAACAACGAATGACTCCTCCAAGACTACATTTCGTAACGTACTGTATCGTATTGTTAATCCTAATTACTTAGAGGCCAGTTAGGCTAGCCACAGATTCATGGGATTGGAGCAGCTGCAACGTCAGATACGTGATTTTGTGCGCTAGAGCAATTTCGAGCTCATGATGGGATGTTTTCGAAGCTGGTACTACTGTACTACTGCATAAACATCAAGCAAGATGCATCTGGCACTACAGATGGTCAAATGCAATGGAGCCGTAAAATGCTTAAATGGCCCCCAATGTAACTTGAATCAAGGGGGCTGTGCAACACGCCGTGAAATCTGGTTTTGGAGCAATCATTCGTTATTTAATATTCTCGGGTGTAGGAAGAGCTAATGGTGTTCAAACAATAATCATGCAGTTAAATTCGTTAATAATATGTCAAACCGCAGCTTATGCTTTAAATCCAAGCGTATCATTAATAATGTCCAAACTAACATTTTAAATAATAAACCTTACTCACTTACTTACC